CTACTGACTGATTGAGATGAGTAGTGGCATTGCAGTCAAATCAACCAGTACTGGTTGCTGGCCAGCCAGATAAAGGTGATCTATGTACCAGATGGCCGTTTTGCTCGTTTTGGAGCCGAACTTATCAACAATATACCCGGCTTAACTTAACTCAGAGAACTGAATCACTTCAAATTACTCAAATTCTGGCTAGCCATCATGGAGAAGTGGTTATACTCTAATCAATTTACAACTGACATAGTTAGAAGTGAAACTTCACAGTGTACACTATCCTTAGGAAACCGAAATTGTTCATATTACAGTATGTAATTTAGTTATATCGGTGTCTTCTTATAGACAAATGAACAATAAGCAATAATGTTATCAAATTAGTGATGATACATTAGCCAGTACTACTTATAGTAGATAAAGTAAGTAGTATATAATGTTTTATGGTTGAAGATAAAATACAAACTGACGTTTATGCAATCTTTAATCTGAGAAATATGTATATTTTTGACCATGATAAAATTGAAATGTAATTTTTCATAAATTTTTCAATTGTTTTACAAACTGTTTTATCTCTGTTCGGTGTTATTCTGTCTACTGTAGCAGACAGTTTAGTTGAAAAGTTTCTGATTATCCGTACTATTTTTTGCTTATTAGATATATCACCCACACAGTGAAACTGTATTATTATTATTTACTGGATGACGTTTCGTAATCATATCAGCTATAAACACACAACTTCGAAACTTTCGTTTCATAGTTTTCTTTATTCTTTCCTATTCGTCGTAGGGGTAGTAGAATTTTCCAGACATCAGGGTGGACACGTGTTCAATCATTCCTATTACACGTATTCGCGGTTGACTCGGTAAATAAAGCTTCCGTTTATCAATCTCTTCCTCCACCCTGTTATATTAGATTTTAAAACTGTCATCTTATCCCATTATATTGTATGGTTGTGTGTACTTGCATGTAGTGCTATAGCTGCTGAGCTATTCTCCAGATTTCTTATGTTATTCGGGTCAACTAATCTAGATTTTGCTAGGTTTTTGTGCTACGCTAGTTTGACTAACACAGAAACTAAGTAGTACCAAGGAAAATCTAGGACAGGAAGGGAGGCATATAAGAGAAGCTTTGAAATTTAACAATTACCCTGATAATTTAATCAGGAAGTATGTAGGAAAATGTAAAAATAAAATTAATCATAATGGTAATAATATAATAATGACGAAATGCATGACAAACATGCACAGGATAATGACAACACCAACAATAGAGAATCTAAATCATCAGTAGTAATTCCATACAAAGAAGGAACCTCGGAAACCTTACGCAGAATTCTTAACAGTGCAGGAATAAAAGTGGCTGGAATTCAAACCCACAAACTCAATTAGAAACAAGCTTTGTCGGTTAAAGGATCAATCCTGTGGAACCGTTAAAACAAAACAATTTAGTTTATCTAATACCCTGCCTGAGGTGATTGTCAGGTCAGATACATAGGTGAAACTAGTAGAACAGGGGCAGTCAGACTAGCGGCGCATAAAAACCTAGCAAAATTTAGATTAGTTGACCCGAATAAGATAAGAAATCTAGAGAATAGTTCAGTTGTAGTGTTCACTACATGCAGTTACATACAACCACACGACAGGATGATGGGATAAGATGACATTTTTAAAATCTAATACAACAGAGTGGAAGGAGAGATTGATAACAGAAGCTTTATTTATCGAATCAACTGAAAATAAGTGTAATAGGAATGGTGTGAAATATTCCCAGATCATGAATTAAAAGTCAGTCTGAACGAAGAATATTCTTTTCAATAATTTCTCTTCAGGTTCTTACAATTATAAAATATAATATTTATTGTCGTTGCAATAATGGCCAGTTATGCGGCGGATACATTTTTTAACGTAGAATAACAGATTACCTATGGGGTGTCAAAATAAATAGTCGTGTTTGTGTGACAAACGTGATAGCCTCAAATCGATTACAAATCATTGTGAAATGGGAGACAATGGTGGTAATTAGTCATAATAGATTTGTAGAGTGTGGGGTAGGAAAATTGACAAGTCAGTTCAAGGTTATAAAAGGTGTCAGGTGAGTGGCTGGTGCAAAGTGGTCTGTATTAAACAAGAGATAGTAAGACTGCAATGAGAGGTTCATAATGAAATAACGAATGTGTGAAATGAAATAGGTGGAGGCATATATTGAGAAAAGAGATAATATCACTAATAATAAGTCCGGATAGTATAAATGAAAAATTCAATAGTATTGAATGTTTGAATGGAGGGTATAAATCATAACGAATAACTATAATTGTAATAATAAGCAAAGGAAAAGAAACCAAGAGGGTTAAGGGGAAGAAGCAATCTTGGCGAGAAGAAGAATCATCAATCCAAGTTTGGCCACGGTAGGAACAGCGTCTGGACGTGTTCTTTTTGGATGCAAAGTTCTGGTTTAGTCGATCTTATTGCAACAGCTTCAGGTATGTGTAGCAGACGTAAGCGAACTATACGTGATAACCGCTTCGGAATTCGGTACATAACCCTGAAAGCTGTGTTGACGTCGATGCTATGTCCAGTATCGACCAAGTGTGACAGGATCGAGCTTTTTATGCACTTAATTCCCCCCCCCCTCCGCCGAAACAATCTGGTAATAGGAATGATTGAACACCTGTCCACCCTGATGTTTGGAAAATTCTACTACACCTAGGAAGGAATAAAGAAAACTATGGAACTGAAGTTTCGATGTTTTGTAGTTACAAATGATGAAATGATTATGAACAATAAATTGTATTCGAAACCTTGTCATCCAGTAAATAATAATAATACTATTTCACCGTGTGGGTGATATATCTAATAAACAAATAATTATGGAATTACATACTAACACAGTGCCCAAGTTTTATACATGTATATTAATATGATTAATGGTCTTCCCGATTATCCTTCTAGACGATATCTTCAGCACTAACTTCAATATAAGGTGAGGTGTGAAGATGCTCCATGGATAAAATATTGGTCTCTCCTACCAACCTTGATTTTGACATCGTTGACTAGGAAGACTTACTCATGATTGTATTCACTTGTTGTATTGTTATAGATCCCCTAGTTTAGCTGGATATCTGAATTTTTGGTTGGGATCTACTGTTGGTAGATTAATTAAATTTCAATCCATATGTGTCACTAGCAAATTGATATGAATATTGGGTCTGTAGAAATTCTCTGGCGTTATTTTTATTTCCTTTACCTAAGAGCTTTATATTATCCCAGTTGAACTGATATCTGCAATTATCCACGTGAACAAATATGAACTAGTACACATCATGTCTTTAAAACTGCTAGTTTCTTTTCATCGATATAAAGACGAAGGTGACATCCATTGTGGTCAATATTGTGTTTTTGTAACTAAATTTTAAGTCGAAAACATGTGATCATTCTTATTGCACCTAACTGTTAGCTTGGGAAAATTGGGTAGAAGTCAGGATTAAAAACCTACAGATGGATGTAGTTTTTATCTATCTTTGTACAACAATCAATAGTATCCCAATTAGGCTTCAGTAAACTAAATCAGGTTTGATTAGAGATCAATACCTGTGTGATTTGTCTAAGGACTAACACCTGAATAGAAGGCAAATATCAAAGGTAGATAGTGTATTGTCAAGGTGAAAACCCGTATCGAGTTGGGTTACTACACAGTATGCTATTCTAGGCCTATACATAAATGAATAGCCTAAATTTAAATATAGCAAGAACAACAGTGGTTTTTGCAGAATAATATGGTACCATCACTTATATCGTTAACTTCTCATCAACTCACCTGCTTACATCCTAAATAAATTATTATTCAGTTCATGTACAGATAATTTTCAAAATACCTGCAAATTTTACATGATGTCAGTTGAGAGGAGATTCAGAACTTAGTGAACAGTGCTCAGAAAATTGCGCTTATATAGTATTCACAGGCAGTTCAAGTTTGAACAAAATGAATGTATGCATACAATGGTAAAGCAGTTACGTAATAAAGACGAGAGATGCGTAAGATGCAGAGTGACTTATAAATTAGGTAACAATGTACTGAGTTCAAATCAAATCACGGAAACAAGAGAAAAGCATATTCATATTATTATTGCATAACTTCTTTTAACAACTGTTTGTGACAACTCATCACCTTTGTTACTATCCTAGGACTTAATTGCCTTGACTTATATTACCAACCTTTACCTGTTTAGTTAAAATAACCTTAAGCAATTGTAATTATTGTATCCACTTAGATCTCTTACATAATTTCTACTTTGTTTCTATGTGCATCCTGAGTAAAACTCACTATTATTATTACAACTGTTTGTGACAACTCATCACCTTTGTTACTATCCTAGTTTCACTTAATTTTCTTGACCTGTATTACCAACCTTCACTTGTTTAGTTAAAAGCAAAATTACAGATTGTAAAAGGAGGGGTGAGGTTTAATCCAAAGATTACGTAATCAAATGGTAGAATAAAGACATCCAGTTACAACGTTGGTCAAGGAAAGACTAATAACTGCTTCTTTCTGGACATATAAATCTGGTTTCAAGCGTTTGATAGAAACTGCTTCGGCAAAATTGAGGAGAATCAAGCTCCTTTGTCTACTGATAATTTTATAGGATTTCGCGATTTCCACCTCATGACGCGTGTTGAGGAGACATCTGGTAATAGCGCTATTATAAGAATTTGTTCCTTTGAGACATAGGCTTTTTCGGCACATGTTCAGAAATGATATGAGTTCAGGAATAGCCGAAAATTATAACCTCATTCTCATTATTATTTAACCTTTTAGTTTATATGATGAAGAGACAGTTCAGCTCATTTAAATACAAAAACAGCAACAAAAAAACATTTATCTGATCTACACAATTATTCTCTTCTGGAAATTTAAATAAATTTTAGAAATATGCGCCAGTTTAATCGATTTTTAAAAAATATTATATGTCAACACATTTATTAAGATTATTATCGATTTTGATTTATTTTCAGACAGTATTATGAACAGTATTCCCTTATGGCTGATCCATGTGATGGACAACTGATTAGTGATTTGTTACGTGAGTTCACTTTTATTTGCTTGTTTGTTTGTTTCTATTCTTTTTCAGATTGTAATTTATGTGGATTAAGTGTCCATTTTATTTCCTTCACGTTCCGCAGTGGAACATAGGGCTTCAAGCTAGAGGCTTGAAGTTTCTGTAGCAGTGTTTATTTTTCAGAATGGGGTTGCTAGCCTGATGCCCAACCTTTCCTCTTCACCAGCATTATTTCTGGCTTAGCGAGGTAAAGGCATGTGTTGGCCGGGGATCGAACGCCGGACCATGTGCATGGTCGGCGAGCGTCTTAACCGCTATGCCACCGACGCACGTCCATTTTGTTGATATTCTGCTAAATTTTATTTCTGTGCGTATAATAACCAGTTGGATCTGGACAATAATAAATCCGAAATAACCTAGAGAAGAATTCCAGAAGTTAACTTAACATTCACCTTCTGTAAGTTGTATTTCGTGAGCTGAAAAGTAAATTCTACTTCACTTAATTCATAGGTCGCCTCAAAGTATCTTTCACTAGAAATGAAATATCTTATATCTGCCTCTATACTGTATGTTAGTCAGTTGAACACTATTGATTATACTACAGCCTATTGAGAATTAAAGTTGCAAGACATCTGCTATGTGGAATATCCAAGGAAATGTTTGATCTTCCAATGTATCTATTGGAAGTTATCATTCTTCCTCTTCTTCTTCTTTCTTTGAGCTCTAAGTGGAACAAAGAGCTGAATGTTTTGAAGTCTCCGTAACAGTGGTGTTGTTTTTTACTAAGTGGGGACTGCCAGTCTAGCGTCGAAGCTTTCTTCTTTCTCGAGCTTACAGAACGCTAGAAGACTAATTTGAGTTTGATACTGCATCGATGGATAATTGGACTGGGATGACTTGTGTGATTGAAAAACATTCTATCAGTTTTAACCACTGACTTGTTTGAAAATTTCATGAAGTTACCTACAGGGATCAGTTTACCCTACTTTCTATCTTAAGTACTCAGTTGCTATTAGTGCTGCCAGATGAAAATATTACAGAATTCAGGATTTTTTAAAATGGTTTGAGAAGAAATTTGAAAACTTTTAGATGCATTTATCACATATAGAATTACTGTATTTTTATTATTATTCCTTTGCGTTCCGAGTGGAACATACGGCTTCAACAACACATCGTCACTTTGTTCTGTTTTCTGCCGTCCTCTTCAGCTGGGCCCACGATTGACCAACTAGTCACTTCCCATTTGGATTCCACTCGAGCACTGGTCTGGAGTGCGATGTCATTCGGCGGCCACCTCAATGCATGCTCTATCCATCTCCACTTTTTCCTACATACTTGTTGGGCGATCGGCTCTTGCCTGTTGGTTTGTTCCCATAATTTCTTGTTACTTATGCTTTCTGGCCATTTCATCTTCAGTATGGAGCCAGCGAAGTGGGCAGTTGTTGATGAAAGTCTGCAACTGGCTGTTGGAAATCCTTTTAGTGATATGCAATGCAAGTTTCTGACCCGTATAGAAGAACTGACTTGACATTAGTGTTGAAAATGCGAATCTTGTCCTTATGCTGAGTGTGGAAGATTTCCAAACTGGTTTCAAGTTGATGAAGGCGTATCTTGCCTTTCCGATTCTGTCTGACTTTGACATCTTCGTCCGTTCCGCCTGTAGTTGAAACGATGCTTACCAGATAAGTGAAGGAGTTAACCTCTGTTAAATCTCTCCCTTTGATGGTGATTGGTGCTGGTTGTTGTTGCTGTTGGTTGGTTATCTTCATCACCTCCGTCTTCTCTGTGTTCACCTGCAGTCCTGTTTTCGCTGCTTCTTAAAGAATATAAAATGGTAATTGGAAATTTCTCTTCATGGATATAGCATCTGATAATGACAATTAATGATGTTAATCGTATTGACTGGAATAGAATAAGCATAATAACAGCTTTATTCCGAACAGTGTTTATACAATGTACAGAATTTTCAGTGGAATTTTTATTGCATGATATTTTCTCTCCGTCCAGGATCTTCAAATAGAATATTAATTGACAATAGATTGTGTGACACAATTGTCTCTGAGCTGAAGCTCAAACTAATCCATTATGACATTTCTTCTTTATCTCCAAGAAATTTTTGATATTTGGTTCAATGCCGATTATAAAAAGTTCAGGAGTACATTTTGTGAACGAAGGTCACAACCCTGGAACAGTTATCTCATCTATTGGGATAATCTGCCTTTCTAGGATAATGCTTTTTCTTAAATTTAGTAGAAATTTGTGAATTAGCAGGCTGTTAACTTTTTAAATACTCACCAGAGTAAGTAATACTATTAGAGGTCCTAGATTACTCGATTTAAACAAGCTGAATAAGAGAAATTATATGCAGTATATTGATTGAGGCTTCTGGTAGCCCAGGTTTTTTTTAAGCCGGTTGTCATATACATATACTTACTTTAACACTCATATCAGATTTAGCTTTCGTTGTGTTGGGAATTTCTCGTATAATTTCGAACTTCTACCATAACGAAAAACTGTTTTTTATTTAGCCACAAGTGGATGAAATTGAGTTATGTCTGCATTTATTGTTTGATGCCCAACACACTCAGTTATTCGTATCTGATTATTTCTCATTTTATTACATAACATTGTACATTGAGAGTGATATTAACATTTTGATGGTTATTATTCATACTCCTCTTGAACTCCAAGTATAAAACAGCTAATCTCCAATTCACTGTGCTCTGTGCAGTCTTGTTTTTAGTTGGTTCCACAATTAACCATACTTTTTTCATTTCCTCCCCACACGGTGTCTTTCCTTTCACCCTCAGACGTACATCTTGCCTTTTCTCATTCGGTTTCTACTCGACACTTTGGTGGATGATGTCACTCAGTGGTCTCTTCACGTCTATCTAATATATCTCCATTTTTTCAGCCTATTTGTTAAACGATAGGTTCTTAAATTACTGGTGGTTAGGATATCATAATTTAACATGCATTTCTTCAGAATGAGCTGTACACAACACTACTGATGACTGTCAAAGAAGTATGAAAGTTACATCTACAATTGTCTTTTATTCTTTTTAAACCATTTTGACATACTTCTCAAAGTTGGATCACTAACTGACATCAGTCAGAAAATCATTTGAAATCAATGGGCCACGGGAAAATCTAAAATTCAATTAAATAATTAATATGACCCCTTGCATAAGAAGTGGCTCTCGTGGCCCAATTGGTCTAGTTCATAATGCTTTGGCGTTTGAAACTCTGGGCACTGGGTTTGAGCCTCGCTGGGGACATCATCACTCACTCACTAGGGAGTGCAGGTACATCTAGATGACGAGTCCCAAATAAGACGAAATGCGCGTTATCCTGGATTCCGTTGCTAATCACCATCCACCAATTAAATTTTAATATTGAACAGCTGTTTCATTTCAGTTTGGGACTGTTCAGCAGTACATATACCAAAGAATCCAAGGGGAACTGAACTCATATCTTTATATCCAGAGGCAAACTCATTAAACAATCATCCACTGGGATGAAATCCAGTTGTCCAGGAATTCTAGCCTGTGCCTATTCGACATATATATAACGCCACTACCAGCCAATGTAATCGTCAAGTGTTTGTTTTGTAATGCTTACTAATGGCTGACTTTAGTATGGAGTATATTTAATAATAACAGCTTTATTCTAGAAAAAATGTTAACACATAGTACAGAATTTTCAGCATATTTGAATTGCAAAATATCTACTCTCCGTATAAGGACTTCAATTAAAATAGTTTTCGTCAGTACATTGTATAATGCAGTGTCGTTCCATGTGATGCAATATCCAATCCTCTAAGATGTTTCTCCCTCACTTTTATTTATACTGGCACGAAACTAAAAATGTTCATGAGTTTATCTGGCGATCTATAAACAAAAACAAATGATCAAGACAATAAAAAATGTAGAAGAGCTAATAAATTATACTAGACGGAAATTCAAGCGGTTTAGTGATTTATGCTAGTCACTATTTCCTAGAGTTGCCTGAAGTTCTTTTGAAAGTTCACAATCAGGACGGTACACCAATTTGACTGTGAGAACAGTTACTTACCGATGGCGTTAGGTGGCACCTTCGCTATGTATCGCAAATTTTGCTGAAGTTGGAATTCATGAGGTAATGAATTTTATCCTAGTGGCTGAAATGTCAGCAGACTTGCCTCGTAACCTGTAGGTTTTGGGTTATATACCGAAATTACATCCTGTTGAAGCCACCTAATGTAGGCCGGGACAGCAAATCAGTATACAACGATTTCCGAAAATTCTCTAATTCATGTCAGTTAGTGATCTTATTTTGAATCCAGAAAACCCCTGGGGTCAAAATTAAACTCTATCAATGCATTGAATGAGAACGCAAGATTGACCTTGAGTCGATCAATCAGGAAAACCATTTATTATTATGCCACACTTTTCAGTACATAAACTGAATTTACAGCAACCATAGATATGTGCGTCGGCAGGGGATCGAACCTCGGACCATGTGCATGGTCCGCGAGAGTCCTAACCACTGTGCCACCGACGCACAGTGGTTTTTACCTAAAAAATGACGTTTATTTACAAGAGAAATACATGAAAATACATTAAACGTTTTTCCTTAATACGAATTAAAAATTTCTCCCAGTTATAATGAGGAGTATCAGTTTTTAAGTCAAACCAGTTTCTATGCTTTTATTCATAAAGGTGACTGAAGATGAGTTTTTTTTGTGGCCAGTATATCGCTCCTATCCTCTTTTTCAGTATTCCCCAAAAGCGCTCCATTGAATTAGTATGGGTTCCAGTAAGATGGTCGACAAAATCATCAGAATGATTCGCCCGATGATGGATGAAACCCAAATCTGATGGCCGATTGTATCCCACCCATTCGTCTCTATGAATAGTAGTGCCAGGAATGACTAACCTCTGAATAATAGGTAGGAGAGTGCCAGCTCTACGATCCGGAATTACTTTCACAATTCCTTTCTAAATTTTTTCGTCGTAAATTCCTAAAACGCAAACGTTATTTGC